AGCGAGTAATTACTTGTTAAGAACTTGTTCCTTCACTTGTTCCTTGTTTCTTGTACCATTTTGTGCACATTCTTAGACTGCGACCCGATTCACACCTAGACGATGCTTTTGAGTTTTCTTGACGTTTCGCTTTTTTTATATACCCATATATCTATATCATTGTTCGTATCATCCTTACTTGAACTTGGACAGGTTATCCTACATTTATGTAGATTGTTTAAAAAAAATAAGAAATGCGAGGATATTTAGTTCTAATTATGCACCTTATATACTCTTTTGGAAGCCAAAGAGTTGCTTTAAAAATCTTAATATTCGAACATTTAGAAGCGAAAAAATATATATATAATGTCTCTATATATAACAGATCTCTATATATACTTCTCATATAACAGGTATTACCTCAATTAATGATGCTGGTGACGACGACCATAATTGGTATCCAGTTTAGAACAAACAACAACGAACGTGAATTTAGAACTATCGAATCTGCTAGTCTTTATTTCAAAGGAAGATCTGAATTTCTCATTAGTTTTTATCTGAAATGCAGTTGGATACGAATATATAATCATCATATCCTCTAACTATTCAATGACTCTTATAGCTAAATGTTCTCGATGTTCCATAATTTTATAAATATAATTGTACTTTTAGTTCTTCTCAGTAGCTGTAAATTTATATTTATCAATCTTTTACCATTTAATGTGTACCTTGACGATATATCTTAATTACTTGGTATGATTCTTACAATTAGCTCATTGCAAATGAGGAAAAAGATGCCCATTATAGTGAGCACTAATTGTAAGTGCAAAAGTGCCTAAATTAATCTGTAGGTTAATTTAAGCAACTATCGCAATAGCCTTGCGCAATTATAATCGTCCGTAACGTTTCGACATTGATATGCTAGCGGCCAGCGCGACGCGACGTCGCGACGCAATAACGTAATCCGTAGCGTCCGAGAAATAATGGTTGCCCAAGGAATAAAAGCGACTGTTTAGCGCGACTTGTCGCAAAGAAATTAGGTCTCGGTTTTTTCTAATTAAATCATATGCACGACGATTAATATTAAAAATATGCTAAATGTTATACAAAATCTTAACATCAAATGCCTTTTGTAAAGTAGTGTACAGAGTACTTGAAAAGCTACAGGATTTTATTGAAACGGCTGAACTAATCTATTTAATTTGAATGAAAAATCAGCCATAAATGAATCTAAAACTTGTCTTTGGAATGGCACAACCACACACATTAATTGTAAAGAATTAGAATTTAATTATTTTTTAGTTGATAATAATATTAATGTTGCTCTTATTTCCGAAACCTGGCATTATTCTAAAACTAAATGATTATAATATAACCTTTATTGGTCATAATACGACGTGAGGGAGTTCCGCTCGAGCCGTCGTGCGAGTCGGACGTGTTCTGCCTGCGCTCGTGTTCCCCCTCTTTGATATTCGTCTGTAGAGCATATATGTATAGTGTCGTTTTGCCGCGATTATTTTTTCGCGGTCCCCAGCTATTCGGGAGGGTTGATTTTCTGAATTATTGCTTCCCCCTCGGAGGGGGAGCGTTCCCTTACTTTGTAAGGATGAATATCCAGATATCGGATAAACCCGTGAATTCGAGCGTCGATGTGCGAACACAGAGAAACGACACCCAGTGCAATAAGAGATACAAAACGAGTGTCTCTCTGGAACAATTTGACGAGTTCACGAAGGAATTAACGCTTTAATGAACAGACGGAAATTAATCGGACTGGAATGGACAGTCGGTGTGACACCCCTGTGCTTCAGAGGGATATGGATATTTATACAGGACGAAACGAGCCATCCGGTCGGGAGGATGAGATGGACGTAAATATGTATCGGGTGGAAAAAAGGAAGCGTGACACGGAGGACCGTGAATTTTTTGTACACAAAACGGCCCCGCTGACGAATTGCTTAACGACGGGCGACAAGAATAATCAAGATGACCATGTTATTGTAGTGAGCGATCACGTGAATACGGGCGGTTCACCGCGTGAGACCACCGTGAGATTGTTGCCGTCTGCTTTGGAGAGGGAGATATATGTTATACGTGACCACAAGCTATGTAAATGTAGGGATAATCCGGAGATTCAGCGATTCACGAGATTCGATAATAAACATTCAGGTAAAGCCAGAATTAGTATTAAACTCGCACCTGAACATTCCACGACTCGCAAGGGCATAAATAAAACTAAAATTTGGATGATCTTGTTAGATTTACAAATCTGTCCGATCTCAGTGGATATGCTTAACCATTTTACAGCGGAAGCAGTTTTTAAAAAAGCGGTTGATGCTAACCGTGCGCTTGATTTAATTGATGGCATGCATGTTCCTAAGATTAAGGCTTTTGTAGAGCAACGATCTGTTGTTTGTAAAGGAGTCGTTTCAGATTGGCCGGCTGAGATTCCGGAGCTTTGGGATGCGATGCAGGACAAGTCGGATGTTATTAAAATTGAAAGAATGTACCGAAGAAAGTGGGATGCGGTTACGCAAAAATCGACTCTGGTGGCCTCGAGTAATATTTCTATAACCTTTAAGCTGGACAAAGTCAAGGATCTTAAAATTTTTCACAACGAAGTTAATTTAAGAGTAAGACCATTTATTCCACAGACTAGGCAATGCTTTAATTGCTTCAAGTTTGGACATACTAAAAATGCATGCAAAAGTGAGACGCGATGCATAGTATGCGGTGAAAAAGCGCATGGTCAATGTGAGAAATCTATATGTTGCTTCAACTGTGGTGGACAGCATAAATCCACATACCGTGGCTGTCCCGTGCATGGAAAAAATAAGAATATCAATATTATTATGGCCTACAACGGTGTTTCTTTTCTTAGTGCAAGACGGATCGCTGAGGGGGAAATTCCAATTCCAGCAAAGCCCTTGGACAGCAGGATTGACCCTGTGAGTTGGCCTGCCCTGCCTCTTCGAAAATCAGCAGCCCCGGATACATCGTATACTCGCGAGAGATTGGAGCGTGGTAATCGCTTCGGTGTACGAGGCGATCCCTCTAGATCAAGTACGAAGGAACGGTCAGTCTCTGGTGGGATTGGCAATTATTATGGCCAGTTTAATACACGTAAAGAGGAAATAGCGGGGGATAGGAGGGGTCTGGCCTTGGCCGCGACCCGCGGGGCTGCCTGGTCCCAGGTGGTGCGGCGCAAACCGGAGAGGAATAGCGAAGGCCGGGAATATGGTGCTGTGGAGGAGATTATTGAGAGCATTATGTTGTTAATGAGGAGGTTTCTCTCAGCAAGGGATGGCCTGATTGAGGCTTTGACAAATGAGTGGCAAAATCGTGTCCCTCCCCCTCCAAGCGGCGATACTGGTGTAGGAATCAGGAAAAAAACAAGAGATTTTAACAACCAAGGACAAGGAGGACAGTATACACGCGGAATGGGGAGAGATTCCCTCCCTCCCACTGTATAATTCAACCTTCTTTTGTGGAACTGTCGAGGGTATCAGAGCTGCAAGGAGGAACTGACGAAGCATGTCATGGAGTATGATGTTGTTGTGCTGACGGAGACTAGATGCAAAGGCCCGCGTAGGGTCTCCTTCCCCAACGTCAGGTCGGTGAGTGGCGCTAACAGATTGGGGAGTGGTGGCGTCTCTATATCTTTACGTACTTCTGTGGATTTTACTGAGGTGCCAATACGTGGTTGCCTGCCTGTTGGATACGACGTTGTTTGCGTTAGGACGAACAATCTCTCTCGAAATATTAACATAGTTGCTGTTTATAGGCATCCCAGCAAACCGATGGCTAGACACGACTTCGCACCCATCTTCAGTGCTGTTGGTATGAATGGCCTTGACACTATTGTTCTGGGTGATTTTAACGCTAAGAATGCCACATGGAACTGTCCTACTACGGATGCCAGGGGAGACCTTCTCTATGAAATTATGGATGGTGGGGGTCTTATATGTGTCAACGTGGACACCTGTTCTCGTGATGGTGTCAGGGGGCAACGCGACACTAACTTGGACCTATTATTTGGCACGAGTGGCATAGCCGGGGACATTTCTTATTCGCAGATCTCGGATTCGTGGGGTAGCGATCACCATCCTATCTCCTTCTCTTTCGATAGTACTCCCTTGATTTATGGGAAGACCACGAACCGTTTGTCCACAAAGAAGACCGACTGGAATCGATTTCAACAGGTGGTAGAATCGGAAATGAGAGAGAAGACTCCGCTGCTGCGGGGTCTTCTGGAAACAGATTTAGAGGCCTGCTATTCTTCTTTCATTGATATTGTCAAGAATGCTGTGGCTGTAGCCTCTGGCAGGAAGTATCCTACCCCTCCTACGAGGATTCCCCCGAACAAGAGGAGACCTTCGCATAAATGGTGGGACGGAGAATGCGACAAGGTCATTCGTATTAGAAGAGAGTCCCTGAGGGCCTTTAAGAATACCAAGAGCCTACACGATTGGCTTGGGTATAAAAAGGCGGCAGCTTCGGCTAGACGGGCCATTAAATTAAAGAAGAAAGCTAGTTTCGAGGAATTCTGCAAGGGGATTGACAGGTTCACGAGTCTCTCATACGTCTGGAAGACTATGCGCATCCTTAAGAATGCCAGAAGAAATTTGGAGTGGAATACTTGGCCCACCAGGAATAGGGAAGACGTGATCAGGTCCACTATCGAGAGCTTGGCCCCGTCCTTTGTTGGTGTGGAACCTGTATCCGATTTTGAGGAGTGCCATTTTGATGACGAGCTGGATGCACCGTTCTCTCGTGGGGAAATGGTCAGAGCTCTGGAGATGATACGGAAGGACTCATCTCCCGGTCTGGACGGCATTGAATACAAGACCATCAAGGCTCTCCCGGACAGCGCTAGGGACTTCCTGCTGGACATTTTCAACAGGGTGTAGTCTACTGGTTCCCTTTTCAGTGATTGGTTTAATTACCAAGTAATCTTCATTGATAAGGTGGGCTGTGAAAAGGTTAGGCCTATCTCATTATCCTCCTGTGTCGGCAAGGTGATGGAAAGGATTATCAATGAAAGACTGGTCTGGTGGGCGGAGAAAGAAGAGAAATTTAGCCCGTCGCAGAGCGGTTTCCGCAGGGGCAGGTCATGCGCCGACAACCTGGTGAGAATTGTTGCGGATATTAAGACTGCAATGTGCGTCGGGGAGTATACTCTGGCTGCGTTCCTTGACGTCTCTGTCGCATATGACTGTGTGGATTACGGGGTAATGCTGAGGAGATTGATAGCACTTGATTGCCCCCCCCCCGCCATAGCCAGATTCATTAGTAATTGGCTATACCGAAGAAAAGTTCGATTCATAGTTAACGCTTGCGATTCGGTGGATTGACTTGTTTACAGGGGGCTCCCGCAGGGTGCTGTCCTGAGCCCGGTATTATACTCTTTGTACACGCAGGGTCTGTGTGCGGACTTGCCGGAGGGTGTTGAGGCGGTCGAGTTTGCAGACGACATCGGGCTATACATCCGTGGACCGAACCGAGAGCGTAATCGACTCTTGCTACAACGAGCGATTAACATCATTGCTGACCGTTTACGCAGCATGGGACTCGATCTGGAGCCGAGGAAGACTGCGTTAGTAGAGTTTTCCAGGAGTGGATACATCGATAGACAGCTGAATATACGTATTGATGGATGTGACGTTCCCAATTACGGCGGTGCAAAATTCCTGGGTATCTGGCTGGACAACAGGCTGAGCTTCGAGCGTCAAATACAGGAACTAAGGGGCAAGGTAAACCGAGCAAATTCTATTATTAGATACCTCTGTGAAGTCTCTAGGGGGATGGAGGTAAATACTGCACTTATGCTCTATAAGAGTCTTGTAAGGTCAATTATTGATTATGGAAGCTTCGTGTTCTTTCCCAGAATGGCCTCCTTGCAGCTTAAATTGGAAAGGGCTCAGTTTTTTGGTATTCGTACGGCCCTTGGCTATAGGAACTCCACCCCCAACAATGTGATTGTTGCGGAGGCTAAAGTGACATACTTGAAGAACCGGGCTATGTTGCTGGGTGTCAACTTTGCCAACAAGGCTATTGCCCATAATCAAAATGGTTTATGTGATAAGATGCGTGCTCTACATGAGGGTGAGAATTTTGTACGGTATAGACAGCCTACGTATGGGTCTTCCTTGTTGTCTGAGATATGGAAAAGAGTTAATCGAACTAAGCATCTCATTGGTCCTGTTGAGAAATTCCCGGTCTTTAGCGGCTCGTACAGCACCCACACATTTATGCCTGCCGTTGACATGGACATCGGAGCGGGGAGAAAACGAGAGAGTTTCTCTGACTGTTCTCTTATCCAAAAAATTATTAGTAAATATCATTTGGGCCCGAACCTAGACATCTTCTTTACGGATGGCTCCTGTAGGGAGGCAGCGGTATCCACGGGAGCGAGTATTGTGATCTGCGATAAGATTAGTCTGCCCGGCCTTTGCTCTTCCTACACTGCGGAGGCCTTCGCTATTTGCTCTGCTCTTCGTTTGCTTTGGACACGCAAATATGTGGGTGGTAGTGAGATAATTATCTTATCTGATTGTCAAGCTGTTCTCAAGTCTATTAATAATAATCACCTAAATGTCCACAAGAATAAATACGTTACGGAGGCTAGAATATTGATTTACAAGTTGGAGAAATTTTGTGATAAGAAGATTGTACTCGTATGGATTCCCGCTCACGCGGGAATTCTGGGAAACGAGATCGCGGATGGATTGGCTAAGGAGGCGACGGAGGAGGAGGCTGATCCCACCATTGCGGTTCCGGTGGGGGATTTGCTGGCGCATGCGAGAAAAGAAGCATGGGAGTCTACACAAGTATCGATCGCTCGCGACGCTTTACATAAAGGCGCTTTCTATTTTGAAAAGTTTTATGATCGAGCTTCATCTGTACCGTGGTTCCGCAAAGTCAGAGCGGAGAGATATTTCGTTACGGTAAATCTGAAGAATAGTGGCCTCCTCACCGATTTCGTTCAACTTGGGCTCAATCGACGCGTTTTTGCACGAAACGACCGAATCTGGCAGAAAAAAATGTCGCTCCGCCCCGCGAAGCGAGATATTAACGGTTAAAGTTGACGACTATCAGGTTATGAGACCTGTCATACCGACGCGATGTAGCGACTGGTAGCGACCACGAACATGCCCTGCGGCCACATGCGCATGCTCCGTAGCCGCACGCGCATGCAAAAGAAGATCACGTGACAACTGTCTGCTTGGTAATAAGTACATATTTATGTGTACTTTTCACATACCAACTATTCTCTGCTTTAACAAATTATTTATGTTTTGTTAACTTAAACGCTTAATAACTGTAACAGAAATAATTTGTTAAAGCAGAGAATAGTTGGTATATGAAAAGTACATGTAAATATGAACTTTTCATATACCAACTATATATTCTCTGCTTTAACAATTTTATTTCTGTTTCGTTAACTTCAACAC